CCCCCCCTCTCTCTCTCTCTTTAGAAACCGCCGCCCAACCCTACCTACCTCCCTCCACTCCACCACCACCTCTTCATTTCCCCTAAACGGCAGTAGCACCACCATATTCCTCCACAGAGCCGGTGACGCATTACAACCTCGATCTCCACCCCAACGGCATGTCATTTCAAATTTGATTTCTGCAGCCAAATTCATCCGGCGACGCTACACACGCACCTGTACGCCTTGCACGACGTTGGGCAGCGCCACAGCCTCACCACTACGCACAGCTGTGACGCTGCATTCAGGTCCGTTCTTTTTTTGTTTTTTTGAATAGTGTGGTGATTGTGGAGGTGTGCGCGTGCGGTGGTGATGCGGTGGGTGTGTTTGAGGTGGCGGTGCGACAATGATGCGGTGGGTGAGTGGTGCTGTGAAGCCGCCACCGTCGCTCCGCTCCTCCCTCTTTTCTGCCAACAGCGGCACCACAGCAGATTTGGGCAATTGTTGGGTTGTTGGTCTGATTTGTGCAGATCTGCGGCGGTGGATTGGGGTTTTACGGATTGATGGTCGTGGTTTGTCTATTTTTTGTTGATGGTATTGATCGACGTCGGCCTCGTGAATGAGGCAGCGGCGCCGTGAATGTGTGACGCTTACGACGTCGCTGCAGATCTAATTTTTCCTGTTTTATTTTTTTAGTTTCGATTTTGATTTTGATTGGATGGGTATGATGATTTTAATGGTTGATGCTTGTTCGTGGTTGCTCTGGTGGTTTTTCAGTCAAAGGGTGGTTGCGGTAGTGGTGGCTGTGGTTCCGTGTGTGGGTGGTGTGGCGGTGGTTGTGTGTTCTGCGTGTGATTTGTGACTTAGTGGTGGTCACAAACGATTTTGGTGGTGGTCACAAATAATTTGATTGTTTGTGACCACTAATTATTAATTGTGACCAAAAAATTATTAATTGTGACCTAAAAATTATTAATTGGGACCTAAATANGGTTTTTGTCGTCGTGTTGGCGGTGGTTGTGTGTTTTGTGTGTGATTTGTGACTTGGTGGTGGTCACAAACGAGTTTGGTGGTAGTCACAAAATAATTTGATTGTTTGTGATCACTAATTATTAATTGTGATCAAAAAATTATTACTCGTGACCTAAAAATTATTAATTTGTGACTTAAAAATTATTAATTGTGTCCATTAAATTGATAAATTGTGACCTAAATAAGTATTGTGACTTATAAATTTTGGGATCTATGACTGATGAACAAATTGTGACTTATAAATTTCTAAGTTGTGACCAAAAAACAAATTGCGACCTACGAAAACTTTGAATTGTGACCAAAAATATTTTGAACTGTGACCTTAACATATTCGCCGGAATCGGATCAATCG